GTGGTGGTGGTGGTGGTGGTGGTGGTGGTGGTGGTGGTGGTGGTGGTGGCGGTCAGCGGCGGGGGGCGGCGGCGGCGGGCGGCGGCGGCGGCGGGCGGCGGCGGCGGCGCGCCTCGAAGAGGTGGGGCAGCACGCGCTCGTAGTGCTCGAGGATCTCCGGGTGGAGCGACTGCGCGAAGAGGCCGATGGCGAGGCAAGCCGCCTCGCGGACCTGCGGCTCCGGCGCCTCGCAGCCCGCGTAGACGACGGGCATCAGGCGGGGGAGCTCTTTGGCGAAGGCCTCGGCGCAGCCGGCGGCGGTGACGGCGAGGATGAGCAGGACGGCGCGGCGGCGGGCCGGGTCGGGCGAGGGCGCGTGCGTCGCGACGAGCTCGAGCAGGAGAGGCATCACGTGCCTGCGGCGTCAGGGCGGCAGGGGGCTAGAAGGGGCGAGGCCGCCGCGGGCTCCTCGCGGGGGGGGGCGAGAGCGGCGCTTTGAGGGGACGAGCTCAGCGACGGTCTCGAACACCTGCGCCGCCATCTTGTACACCTTGCTCTCGTCGTCGTCGTCGTCGTCGGGCGCGCCGATGCCTCCCGAGGAGCAGACCTGTTGGCAGGAGAGTGGCCTGCTTGGCGGGGACGACGCCTCCGCCGACTTTTGTCGAGGAGCTAGACGAGGCACGCCTCGAAGAGGCGGGCGAGCATTGCGGGGAGCAGCTTCTGCTTGACGACGGCGCGCCGGCGCGTGCCGACGAGGCAAGCGCAGAGGTGCAGCGCGGCGCGGCGGGGCTCGAGCTCGAGCGAGGTTGAGGCGGCGGCGGCGAGGGCGTAGTCAGCGATGGGGCTCACCTGGGCCGGCTGGACGGCGCCGTCCTGTAGGGAGGGGCGTCGGGGTGGGAAGGGGTCAGGGCTGCGGGGGCAGGCGGATAGAGTGCGGGATGGGGTGGAGAGCGGGCAAGGTGTGTAGCTGCGCGAGGTGGTGGGGTGGGTGGGTGGGCCGGAGGGGTCGAGGCTGCCTGCTCGAGCAGGTCGTCCATGAGGCTGCAGACGAGGGTGATGGTCTCGTCGTCGCCGAGCGAGTCGCTCTCGCCGAGGGCGCGCGCACCGAGGCCGAGCACGAGCGGGACGAGAGGCCGGAGGAGCGAAGCGGCGTCCTGCGGGACGCGCCTCGGACGTGTCACGGACGTGCCACTCGGACCCGTGTCGGCCGGAGGGAGGGCGCTTCCTGCTCCGTGCCGAGGGCGGGCGTCCACGCCGACAGCGCCTTGAGCGCGCCTCGGGCGACGTCCAACTGGCGGGCGCACGCGTGCCGCTGTCAGAGGGGCGGGACGGCGCGGCTGCAGGGGTTTGGTGGCGCGAGCCTGCGCGTCTTGCAGCGCTGCGGCGAGCAGGTCCTTGAGCAGGACGAAGTGAGGGCGGAGGTGCTCGGTCACCTCGTCCGACTCGAGGAGCGAAGCGATGAGGGTCATCGCCACCAGCCGGTGCGCCGTGGTGGGCGAGCGAGAGCCCTCGAGCACACAGGAGAGAAGCTCCGGCCAGCCTCCCTTGGACATCGCGTGCCGGGCGGCAGAGGCGCACAGAGCCGCCACGGAGCGCACGACGGCGCCTGGTGGGCGGCGAAGCAAGCACCGTGAAAGGAGAGGTGCTGTGGGCGGCGGGGGCGGGTTCCAGCTCGCAGAGGGAAGCGCGAGGCGCACCCTCAGGCTCGGTCGCGAGGACCTGCAGCAGGGTCGCCTTGATCCGGTTGGTGTTGGCGGCGCCGAGCTTGCGCCAGTGCGACCCGATGCGACGGCGCAGCAGCACCGCCGCCAGCTGCCGGACGTGGGCGGCTTGAGACTGGGTGAGGCGGGTCAGCAGGTCGAGCATAAAGGCAGGCGTGCTGAGCGCCGGCGTGAGGGCCTCCTCGGCCTGCCGGATCTGCTCGGGGTCGCCCTGAACCATCTGCGAGAGCAGCGACTCGAGCTGCGCGGACGGCATCAGCCCGCCGCCGAGGTCGAGCGACGTCGACATCCCGGCTGCTGCGAGTATCGCCTTCTGGCTGGTGGCCTCGTAGCTGGCGAGAACAGCCACGCCTCACTTTGGTTATTGAGAAGAAAATACCTCGGATGGCGCTGTGCGCTGGCCTGTGAGAGGTTGAGGTGCGAGCCCTGGAGGCCCTGGGGATGGGGGGGGACTACCCGCGGGCCTAGAAGGCCCGCGCGCAGGGGGGTGGGCATTGAGACCGGTCGGTCATGAATGAGTGCGCGACACGCATGTTAGAGTTGTTTGGTATTGCTAAAAATCTCTCTCTCTCTCTCGCATGTTGTTCACAGGGGGGGATCCGTCTGGAAGAGCCCCCGGCGAGGGCTTGTGCTGTGAATAGCAGGACTGGTCTGTACTCGCCAGGCCTCGTAGGCTCGGTCTCGTAGAAAAAAGAAATAAAAATCGGCCGGAGGACGGCACGCCGCCACCACACAGGGATTTTAAGGAGAGGGGTGTGATACGCTAGCCATCGCCCACCCTCGGGCGTCTACCACTTCCTATCTCTCTTCGCAGTCTCTCGCCGATTCTCGCTGCGCAACCTTCATGCCACCCCGCGGTCGTCTCGTAGGTCTCGTCGCGACGTCACGGCGAAATTCTTTTTCTACGCTTGGGCCGAGGTCGCTCTTTACACCTTAGAGAGAACAGGGCTCGGGTCGATTCCGCATGGTACGGGACCCCTCGATCGTCTCGCCCTCCCTCGCTGGTGTGTTCAAGTTCATTGGGGGGGGGGGCGGTGGACAGGATCGAGGAATCGTAGGTGCATGCACGCTGCTGAAGCAGTGTCGTCCCCCCTCTGCCTCCTCCATCGTCTCACTGGGGGCTGAGGGCCAAAAGTAAAACGCGCAACGCCGCTCTCGGCTCTCAGAGAGGCGTTATATCTCAGTAACCCCGCTCGCAGGTACTAGAGCAGCATTCGTCAAGCTCAAACCCCACTCTACACAACACAGAGCAGCGTTTGCCTAACAAGACTCCGCTCTGCAACCTTCAGAGCGGACTCGTGCTCAGAAAAACACCGACCAAACACGTTCGAGCGGAGTCAAGTCAGTGCGACACCGTGTCAACATAGCGGGAGCGGTCAATTTCCGCGGAGAGGCTGCTTTCGCCTCCCTCAGTCGCGCTCTCCTTCGCTCCTCCTCTTCAGAGCGGGACTTTGCTAAGTGAACACCGCTCTAGCTAGTAAGAGCAGCGATTGCTTTAAGCTGACACCGCTCTAAATGGCGTGAGCGGCGTATCACTAAACGCGACGCCGCTCTGACTACTCGGAGCAGTGACGACCCACCCACACGCTGCTCGACCCCAGGGGCGGGGCTCGCCACGCCGCGCCGCGCGCCACGAGCGATCGTGGATCCGCCGTCGGCGTCAGGTGGCATCGCCGTCCCGGCGTCCCAGAGCAGCGTCTATTCAGGGCGACGCCGCTCACGTCATTTAGAGCGGTGTCAGCTTAAAGCAATCGCTGCTCTGGCCAGCTAGAGCGGTGTTCACTCAGCAAAGTCCCGCTCTGAAGAGGAGGAGCGAAGGAGAGCGCGACTGAGGGAGGCGAAAGCAGCCTCTCCGCGGAAATTGACCGCTCCCGCTATGTTGAGCGGTGTTGCACTGACTTGACTCCGCTCGAACGTGCTCGGTCGGTGTTTTTCTGAGCACGAGTCCGCTCTGAAGGTTGCAGAGCGGAGTCTTGTTAGGCAAACGCTGCTCTGTGTTGTGCAGAGTGGGGTTTGAGCTTGACGAACGCTGCTCTAGTACCTGCGAGCGGGGTTACTGAGATATAACGCCTCTCTGAGAGCCGAGAGCGGCGTTGACCGTTTTACTTTTGGCCCTCAGCCCTCACTGGGAGACATCAGCCTGACATCAGCTCGATGGCGGTGTGACCAATCGAGCTATTAAGAGGAGCTTGTTCAGCGGGATCCGGGACAGGTCTGACGCACTACCTCACTGGGCCTGGGTGCCGAGATCGGGCTGAGATCATCGAGACAGCGCCCGTCAGCGTCAGCCGTCTCTCACCTCCGGGTTTGCTTGGAGTCGAACCACTCCGGGATCGGTTACCGGGATGAGCAAGCTCATCGTTTTGAAATGCGCTGTTTCTCACCTGTTGGCTGTTGCGTGGTGGCAGCGGAGCATATACGTGCGCCAACTTGTTGTGCTTGTGGAGCGGGGCAGGGAGGAGGGGGGAGGCCGGGAGGCCGGGGGGAGGGGGGGTGGGACAGAGGGGGAGACGCGACGGGCAGGGTTTAGCCGGTGCGCGGTGGTGCTGGTGGAAAACTGAAATCTGAGAAAAAAAGATTAGACATCCAGCAACTTGAACTCCCGGGGCCGACGTACAACTTGCACACACACGCGATCGCGAAAGGCGGGGAATCACACGCAATTCGCAATCTCTCAGTTTTCACACCCACCCACCCGCACGTGCTCCCCCACACCGCACGCACGCGGCCAGTCTCGCCACACGCACCCCACCCTCGGCACCATACCTATGTATGTACCTGGCTCTTACGTACATTCCCGAGGAGGACTCTGCTTTGGAATAAAAAGAGTTCGACGCTGTGCTCCCATCCCTCCAGCAATTCACCTGAGCACTCCCGACTCCGCACGCTGTCAAGGCAAGCCCATCTGCCTCTTGAAGTTCGCCATTCTCTCCGCCTCCTTCGCCTCCAGCTCACGAACCCGCGCGCTCGATGCGTCGGCCCGCCGAGCGCTCGCCTCGTGCCGCTTCGCCAGCCGCGGCGCCAGGTCGTCGGCGGCGCCGCCTCCCAGTAGGACCCGGTCGTTCAGCGCGGGGCCCGTGTCCTCGTCCTCTCTCCTGCGGTGGAAGGCGGTTTGTGCGGCGCGCTTCGCCAGCAAAGCGTCGCGGCTTCCCGCGTCGTGGCGTGTCGAGATGCCGAGCGCCGCCGCCGCCTCGTCGACCGCGCGGCCGGGCTCTTCGCGCTGCCGCTTGGCAGCCGCCACACGCGCCAGAGCCGCCTGGTCGCGGTTCTGGCCGGCGGCGCGGCCCGTCTGCGCCTGGATCGAGTCGCGCGTCGACTCGAGCTGCAGCTGCTCCGCCGCCGAGAGCGAGTTTGCAAAGGCCCAGGTGTGCCGCGTGCGCTGATTGCCGCTGGCGGCGCTGGTGGCGTTGTAGAGGTGCGACGCGAGCTCGCCGCCGTTCCACTTGGAAGCGAACTTCGAAAAGAGCCGCCGCGACTCCTCCGAGGGCATTTCCTGTAGGAACTGCCCGCGCGACTCCTGCAGCCAGCGCTGAAACTCGGCGGTGCGCCGGAAGTAGTCGTCCTCAGAGCACGGCTCGACGCCGGCAGGCGGCGCGCCCGCGCCTCTGCCCTTGCGCTCGCGCTTCTTCTTCTCCTTCTTTTCACGCTTGCGCTCCTTCTTCTCCTTCTTCTTGTGCTCCTTCTTCTTCTTGCGCCGCTCGTCGCCGCTGCTGCTCTCCGAGGACGAGCTGCCGCCCATGGCACCTGCAGATACGCTGGCGAGTACCTGGGTACCTAGGTACACTCTCGCGAAGAAGAAAAAGCTGCGCTCTCTCTCTCTCTCTCTGTGTGTGTGTGTGTGTGTGTGTGTGTGTGTGTGTGTGTGTGTGTGTGTGTGTGTGTGTGTGTGTGTGTGTCTCCGCCGTTCATGGAGGCAACCGATGCAAGTCGACTGGTGTGTGTCGTCGTGGTTTCGTATCAAGAATACTCACTCACTCACTCCAAGTACTCACTCACAGAACGAGGCCGAGGAGAGAGATGAGTCAGAGGATGAAATAGCAGGAGAGAGAAAGAACGACGAGAGAGGAGAGTGGGAAGAACGCGAGGCGGCATGAAGGTCGCTGCGAGACTTGGCGAGAAACTGTGAAGAGAGATGGGAAGAGGCACAGACGCCCAAGGGTGGGCGACGGCTAGCGCCCCACACCTCTCCTTAAAATCCCTCCCTCTGTGGTGGCGGCGTGCCGTCCTCCCATCCCTCCCTTGCGTTGTCTATTTTCTTTCTTTCTTTCTTTCTGCTACAATACTACCGTGCTGCCGTTCACCTGATCGTCCCTTCCAAAATCCTGGTCGTGCAGGTGGCCTGTGCTCCTCCACGGCTCCACCCCTCGTTCGGAGGCTGTTTTCTTTCTTTCTTTCTGGCGCTGCGCGCTGGTCTATGAGAGGTTGAGGTGCGAGCCCTGGAGGCCCTGGGGATGGGGGGAGACTACCTGCGGGCCTAGAAGGCCCGCGCGCAGGGGGTGGGACATTGAGACCGGTCATGAATGAGTGTGCGACACGCATGGTGCGAGCAGCGTTGTTGATGTTCTGCGCGTCGCCACAGACGGCGGCGCGCGAGAGCTGTTGCGAGTGGTGCTGGGCGAAGGCGCGCAGCCCCGGGCGCTGCTGGAGGCTGTGCCGCTGAGCCGTAGTCGGTGGTGCGGTCGACGGCGCTCGGGCTGCCGAGAAGTTGAAGATGATTCTCTTGGTCGGCGGCGCGATGCCGCCCTCTGGCTTTCGACGAGACAGATTTGACGATTCCGTTCTTGACATGGAGCGCGTCGTAGTACTGTCCCTTGAGCCTTGTGCTCTTTGACCCAGCCTTTGCCGGTCGCATGGACGAGCGGGCCCTGTGACTTGTGGCCGCGCTCTTTGCACCCAAGAACCTTGAGCAAGGTTTGGGGGGGTGGGGGGGAAGAGAGAGAGAGCGAGCGAGCGAGCGAGCGAGAGAGAGAGAGAGAGAGAGAGAGAGAGAGAGAGAGAGAGAGAGAGAGAGAGAGAGAGAGAGAGAGAGAGAGAGAGAGAGAGAGAGAGAGAGAGAGAGAGAGAGTTCGTGTAGGTTTGCTCGAGGGTGCCGCCGAAAACAAATTTGTGGCCAGTGACGCAGATCTTGTTATTGAGAAGGAAATACCTCTATGGCGCCGAATTGATATAGTGTAGTGAAACAAGACAAGCCGTGGGTGCGGGCGTCTCTACCTTGTCGGAGGATCCGACAGATGGACGCACGTCAAACTATTCGTTCACATTCATGGCTGTACACTATATTAATTCGGCTGTCCGCGAGCCCCTAGCTCGCCGACGGCGAGAGAGATGCCACGAGGGGTCGCGGTGGCTTCCATCGCCAGGCTCCCTAGCTCAACCGACGACCCTCGTGCCTCGGGATCGACGGCCGATCGTCATCAGGTTGAGGTGTTCACACCGAGAGTCTGTCAGGCTCAACAAGAGCCCAAGCTAGAAGAGATGGTTTTGTTGTCCGAGCTGAGGGGAGGGGAAGAAAACGCGTCCCTGTTCCCTCTTCTCTACAATCCTACATTTCTTCACTACCAAGGTCTGTATCGGAGCGATGGACTGCCGCGAAGCTGAGGCCGCAGCTGCAGCAGCTGGCGCCCGCCCCGTCTTTCTTTCTTGTCCTCTCACTCAGCGGGAGGCTGGGTTCGTGTGGCGGGAGGGGTGGGAGCTTCGCGGCGGCACTCAGTCAGCAGGGATGTCCGGCCTTAAAGACAGAAAGAAAGAAAATAGACAACCCAAACGAGGGATGGGAGGAGGACAGGGTCCCCACCTGCGCGAGCAGGATCTTGTAAGGACGATCAGGGACACAGGGGAAAGGGAGCGGGGAGCGCATCGCGACACGGAGGGGGGGCTGGACAGGGTTCACCCACACGACAGGGTCCCAGGGATTCCTCTCTCTCGTATAGGACAAAGTCGCACCCGGCGGCACGGGGGCAGCCACGGGCCTCCTACTGGTTGCGCTCTCCTAGTTGCTCCTGTCTGGCCTTGCCCAGGTAAAAGCTAGCACCACACTCCTCTCCTTGAAATCCCTGTGTGGTGGCGGCAGTGTGGCGAGTTGGGCCGAGAGGTGAGCTGTACTGCTACGCATATGTAGTCGCCCAGAATGCACAGATCGGCCATGTTATGTAAATACGCGCCCGCGATCCATAGTCCGTCGGCCAGACGTCGCGTATCGGTGTCGTGCCCGAGCCAAGTGGCGCCTGAGGGAGCTACATATGTCTTGCGTATTACGAATCTGTCTTCTGCATCCACCTTCGGCCGATCGGGGTGTGCCTCTCAAGGCGCGCTACGCCCCACGTACTACGCACACGCATTCCGGATTCGAGTGAGAAGTGGCGGCCGATGGGGGTTACGCCTCACGCATTACGCATACGCTTGATGCATTCGCACGCCCAAGGTGTCGGAGCGGGCCTACGCCCCTCTGCCCCACCTACCGTACCACCGCAGTCGCCGCCCTCTGTGCCCCCGCCGTCCCTTCCGCCGCCGCCGTCGTCGCCGCCGCCGCCGCCGCCGGACATCGTCATCACCGTCGATGGGGGCCCACCCCCGTACCCCGAGAATGAGACCTACCGCATCAACCTCTGGGTCGATATCGAGGTGTCCCTCCACTTTGCCGGAGGCCACAACGTCGTCGAAGGAGATCGCGTCAGCTGGATGAACGTGGACAAGGTCGCTCCGCACTTCTCACCACCGCCACCTCTGCCACCTCCACCCTCGCCTCCTCTGCCCTCGCCACCGCACCCTTGGCTCCATCCACCGCCACCTCTGCCACCTCCACCCTCGCCTCCTCCACCCTCACCACCGCCACCCTCGCCTCCTCCGCCACCTCTGCAGCCCGCACCCTCTCCACCGCCACCTTCACCGCCCCCACCCTCGCCTCCTCTGCCCTCGCCTCCTCCGCCACCGCCTCCGCCTTCCTCACCTCCACCTTGGCCACCTCCTTCCTCGCCTCCTCTACCCTCACCACCACCGCCTTTTCAGCCGCCCTCGCCACCTCCCCCGTCTCCGCCACCCTCCCCACCTCTCATATTTTCCCCGTCTCAACCGCCCTCACCGCCCCCCTCAACCCCACAACCGTCCCCACCTCCAACGCCCCCCCCCCCCCCCCTTAAAACGTGGATAGCCTATAAGCTATTACCCGTCAAAATAGCCTGCTTTCTCGCTCGGTATGCCGCCTCCGAGTCTA